GCGCCGGTCTCCCCAGGCTTGCGGATATCTGCCCGAAGTCGCGCAGCTCTCCCACGGCTTGCTGAGAGCTGCGCGAAGCCCGAAGCCTGCAGGCAGCTCTCTGCAAGCCGTGGGAGAGCTGTGCAACTTCACGCCGGGCTCCCACGGCTTGCAGATAGCTTCCTGAAGCCTGGAGAGCAAGAGGGGTCGGTGCGCACCGACCCCTCTCGCTCTCCAGGCTTCAGCGAAAGCCTGCATTCGCCCCATAGGACGCACACACATTTCCTCTTCATTTTCGGAGGGGGAAAAGTGTGTCCTATAGGGCGAAAAATTCGGCAGATGACTACAAAAGGGACTCCTAATTTAAACACAATCAAAATCCAGTAATAGAACTGCAAGTGTTATTCATATTTCCCATGGTTTTTTTGCAGCAGTTGGGTGGGAGGGGAACTTGGGAAAAAGGGGGAAGGACTTTTTAAATTGTCCATCTCTGCTGGTGACACTTTGCTTTAATTGCGGCTTCTCTCTTTTTCTTGACAGAGCTTGGAAGATAGCGATTCTGGAGGCCAAAGCGACTCAGGTGAGTCTGCCTTGCATTCCTTGTCCGGTTTCCTGCCCTGATTGTGAACCGTTCCTGCCCCTTTAAATGCTCCTTATGGGCAAGAGCCCTGCAAGCCTGAGATTCTTCAGGTTTCTAGTTCTCATTGCTTCCCTGAAAATACGGGAGAATGAAAAAGAACAGAGGGCTGGACTAGATGGGCCATTGTGTTGAATAAATTTATGGACCTAATAGGTATCTAAAGCCATTTGCACATAACAAAATATGTATTTTATCAAAGTAGTTGTGGAACTGAAATACAATTAAGAAGAAGTATTTCAATAAAAAAAGGTAAAGGACCCCTAACAGTTTAGTCCAGTCGCAGACGACTCTGGGGTTGCGGCGCTCATCTCGCTTTACAGGCCGAGGGAGCTGGCGTTTGTCCGCAGACAGTTTTTCCAGGTCATGTGGCCAGCATGACTAAGCCGCTTCTGGCGAACCAGAGCAGCGCACGGAAACGCCGTTTACCTTCCCACCGGAGTGGTACCTATTTATCTACTTGCACTTTGATGTGCTTCTGAACTGCTAGGTTGGCAGGAGCAGGGACCGAGCAACGGGAGCTCACCCCGTTGCGGGGATTCAAACCTCCGACCTTCAGATCGGCAAGCCCTAGGCTCAGTGATTTAGACCACACCGCCACCCGCGTCCACGAGTATATCAAAATTTAAATACAATTAAGAAGTATATTAATAGTTAAATTATTATTAAGCTCTAACTTAAAATGATTTTTTTATTCATAAACTTTTTTATTCATAGCAAACTTAATAATGCAAACACATTGGCATTTGGCAATAACAAAAGTTCCTTTAGAAACACAATTTACAAAGACTTATAATCTAGCCTCTAGAAACTTGCTACAGTGGTGCCCCGCAAGACGAATGCCTCGCAAGACGAAAAACTCGCTAGACGAAAGAGTTTTCCATTTTTTTAGTCGTTCCGCAAGACGAATTTCCCTATGGGCTTGCTTCGCAAGACGAAATGTCTTGCGAGTTCTTGCGAGTTTGTTTCCTTTTTCTTAAAGCCACTAAGCCATTAATAGCCGCTAAGCCGCTAATGGCCGTGCTTCGCAAGACGAAAAAACCGCAAGACGAAGAGACTCGCGGAACGGATTAATTTCGTCTTGCGAGGCACCACTGTATAACGTGAAATAATAATAGGTGTAAATATATCATGCAAACTACTAATAATTATAAATAGCAGACTGTAGGCACCCTATATATATAGAAAGGAGCAAACTGGTGATATTTTAGGGAGCAGGCTATCGGGGGGCATGACTTACATCAAAGGAGCCTACACAACACAAAACACTGTTGCTGCATGTAGGTTTTATTTTATTTGTTTTTTATCTTTTGTATTTTGGAAATGTACATCGTTGTTTTTTTCTTTAATTTTTTTGGGGGGCCCCCAAGAGAGTGGGGCCCTAAGCTATAGCTTGTTTAGCTTATACGTGAATCTGGCGCTGTTCCCATGCCATCGGAAGGGGCACGTGGCAGGAGAGAGTAATTCGCACATTAAACCGATTCGCCAGTCGCCTGGTTGCCACGTCTTCCTGCTCCAAGTGGCTTTGCTCTGGAGCCGCGCTGCTCGATTCCTCTCCTGCTGAGGCAACTCTATTTTTAGCCGTGCCTTCCCCCAATTTCCCGGCCTGGCCAGCCACACAGATCAATAAGCGCAATCAGGCTGGCGATCGATGGCTCTGACGCCGCAGGAGGGCCTCGAGTGCTCCGGACTGAACTCGGAAGTCTCCGGCCTTTGGGATCCAAAGACTTGGCGAGCAGTTCAGGATCTGGATGGGAAAGGCCCTCCCCCTGTTTTCTGCATTGCTCCCCTCCGTCAACAGACTGCTGCCCCTCTCTCCTTTGGGGTCTGGGTGAGCATCTCTCCTTCACAGCTGCCAGCTGTGTTCACATCTTGCAGGAGGTCTTCCCTTCAAATCCATGTTCTTTCATAGAATCATAGAATCCTAGAGTTGGAAGAGACCACAAGGGCCATCGAGTCCAACCCCCTGCCAAGCAGGAAACACCATCAGAGCACTCCTGACATATGGTTGTCAAGCCTCTGCTTAAAGACCTCCAAAGAAGGAGACTCCACCACACTCCTTGGCAGCAAATTCCACTGTCGAACAGCTCTTACTGTCAGGAAGTTCTTCCTAATGTTTCGGTGGAATCTTCTTTCTTGTAGTTTGGATCCATTGCTCCGTGTCCGCTTCTCTGGAGCAGCAGAAAACAACCTTTCTCCCTCCTCTATGTGACATCCTTTTATATCTTTGAACATGGCTATCATATCACCCCTTAACCTCCTCTTCTCCAGGCTAAACATGCCCAGCTCTCTTAGCCGTTCCTCATAAGGCATCGTTTCCAGGCCTTTGACCATTTTGGTTGCCCTCCTCTGGACACGTTCCAGTTTGTCAGTGTCCTTCTTGAACTGTGGTGCCCAGAACTGGACACAGTACTCCAGGTGAGGTCTGACCAGAGCAGAATACAGTGGCACTATTACTTCCCTTGATCTAGATGCTATACTCCTATTGATGCAGCCCAGAATTGCATTGGCTTTTTTCCCCCGCATAGCTGCTCCATCAACAACTTAGCAAAGGGAAACGAGCAGCAGACCCAACCAGTTAAAAAAATCAGAATGAAAATGGGTTTCCGCTGGCATACGCAAGAGAAGGACCAGGCAGGCCTCCCTGAGCAGGGAATTCCACAGATGAGGGGCCACCACCATGAAGGCCCAGTTTCCGGCTGCCACCCAAGGCACCTCAAAATGCCAGGGGCACTTTGAGCCAATCTGGGTGCAGAGGGTGGTTGCTATGGGGAGCTCCCTCCTGCCCTCCCACCCCGGTTTCTAGCTCAGGTTTTTAAGCTCTGGCTGCAAATGTTCTCGTTTCTCGCTTTCTCCAGGTGCACCTGTACGACCCGTACGACGACTATTACCAGACGGTTCCCCTCGACTCCCACCAGGCGATGTACGTCAGCTCCGATTACTACGGCAACCAGTACGGAGGTATGTCTTCATCCATCAACGTCCCTTTTCACCTCCCCCCCCCCAGGCCAGTTCAGGTTTGCTCAGCCGAGGGCTCTTTTCAGCCCCCCCCCCCCCGCAAGGCTGGGTGGCGATGGGCCTCTGTGTGACGTTTTGGGCGCTGCAGCAGAGGGCCAAACATTTCAGCTGGGCAGACGGGATGCAGCGATGGGTGTCGCAGATGCGACGCTTCGAGGCTGTTGTTGCACACCAGCCCAGTCTCCCAGCCGTGCAAGACTCCGGGGGTTCAGGGCTTTGAAGAGAAGCCAGACTGTCTCCCTGCTTGCTGTCTTTCGGCCAGCAGATTAAGACTTTTCTTGTTGAAACAGGGTTTTGGGAACTGATTGCTTTTATGAAAGGGCTTGTGCCACGCTGTTATTGTGATTATTTGCATTAGAGATGATAGATAGATGATACAGATAGATAGATGATAGATAGATGATAGATAGATAGATGATAGATAGATAGATAGATAGATAGATGATAGATAGATGATAGATGATAGATGATAGATAGATGATAGATAGATAGATAGATAGATAGATAGATAGATGATAGATAGATAGATAGATAGATAGATAGAAGATAGATAGATAGATGATAGATAGATAGATGATAGATAGATAGATAGATAGATAGATAGATAGATAGATAGATAGATGATAGATAGATAGATGATAGATAGATGATAGATAGATAGATAGATAGATAGATAGATAGATAGATGATAGATAGATAGATGATAGATAGATGATAGATAGATAGATGATAGATAGATAGATAGATAGATAGATAGATAGATAGATAGATAGATGATAGATAGATAGATGATAGATATAGATAGATAGATAGATAGATAGATCATCTATCTATCTATCATAATCAGTAAGAAACAATATAGATAGATAGATAGATAGATAGATAGATAGATGGATGATAGATGATATAGAATTAAAACTGCACTATCTATGTATCATCTATATCTCTCTATCTATCATAATCAATAAGAAACAATTAGAGATAGATGATAATTAAAACTGCACTATCATCCATCTATCGATCTATCATTGGTCAATCCATCTATCTCTAATTGTTTCTTATTGAATATGATAGATAGATAGATGATAGAAAGATAGATAGATGATTGCTAGATGATATAGAATTAAAACTGCTCCATCTATGTATCATCTCTATCTGTCTGTCTGTCTGTCTGTCTGTCTGTCTAATTGTTTCTTATTGATTCTCTCCCCCGCCCGCCATGTTTTCAGCTGTTCGTATTTTTATCTGTAAGCTACCTTGAGTCCTTATTGGAGGTGGGGGGGGGTATAAATAATAAAATCATTAAACTGTAGCGCTGGAAGGGAACCAAAAGGATCATCTATTGTTAACCCCTGCAATGCAGAAATATTTTACCCAATGTGGGGCTCGCACCCGCAACCCTGAAATTGAGAGTCTCACACTCTTACTGACTGAGCCATCTCCTTTCACATCAACTTTTCATTTGAGCTTAAACATCCTTGTCCTCAAAAGCCAGACCAGCTTACTTACCCCTTTCCAAGCCGGGTCCAAATTCTCCCTGCAAGTCTGCTGCCTCTGACAGTGGAGATGGACCAGAGCCTCAATTGCCCTCCCCTCCGCGCATTCGTCTAATGCAAGTTATTAGCCATCACTGCCTCTTGTGGAAGGGAGTTCCGTAGTTTCACCACGCAATGTACTGCAAGATGCAGAACATCCAGAACTGAAAGGATGGTCAGGTGAAGATGACAGATTTTGCGGAACTTGCCAAATTGACAGGGAGGATCCGGGACCAAGAAGACCAGAGATACAAAAACAACTGGAGTGAATTTATCAAATACTTAAAGGAGAACTGTAAAAACTTAAAGACACTAGCAGGACTGGAATAATACCTTCAATGTAAAATAGTAGCGATATAAGAATAACATACGCGATAAGAATGTGATAAGTATACCAACTGCAGGGAGGGAGGGAAGTCAAGACTCGGCAGAGTCAAAGGGAATATATTGTAATAATAAGGATTGTTGGAAAAAGAATACTTAAAGAAAATAATAAAAATTTACTTGGAAAAAATAATTGGTATAATTCCCACCGGCTGATTTAATCTGGCCTCCGTGGCAGTATATGTCCTGAGCTAAAATCCTTAAAAAAGCTCAGCAACTTTGGAGTTAAATCCAAACAAAAAGCTCAGCAACTTTGGGGTTAAATCCTAAAAAAAAAAAGCTCAGCAACTTCAATCCTTATTCAATCATGTTCAAATCCGGCCCTCTATGCAAAATGTTTGGGCAGCCCTGATGTAACCGTTGCTGGCTTAGGAACATCCTGAAATGTAGGGCGACCTCTGGTGGCGCCGGGTGCGAATTTCTCTGCATTGCACGAAAAGCAGAAGAGACTGCATTTTTCAAAAGTCAGGCATTACCAACCAAAATTTCACAAAACATTGAAAAGCCTTCTGATTGCTGCATGTAGGTTTTATTTTATTTGTTTTTTATCTTATATTTTGGAAATGTACACTCAGTGGGGTTTTTTCCGTTTACATTTTTTGGGGCCCCCCAAGAGAATGGGGCCCTAAGCTATAGCTTGTTTATTTATCTCAGGGGTCAGCAAACTTTTTCAGCAGTGGGCTGGTCCACTGTCCCTCAGACCTTGTGGGGGGCAGGACTATATTTTCGGGGGGGGGGGGGGATGAACGAATTCCTATGCTCCACGAATAACCCAGAGATGCATTTTAAATAAAAACACACATTCTACTCATGTAAAAACACACTAATAATTTATAATAATAATAATAATTTATTATTTATACCCCGCCCACCTGGCTGGGGTTCCCCAGCCACTCTGGGCAGCTTCTAACAAAACACTAAAATACAATAACCTATTAAACATTAAAAGCTTCCCTAAACAGGGCTGCCTTCAGATGTCTTCTAAAAGTTATTTTTCACTTTGACATCTGGTGGGAGGGCGTTCCACAGGGCGGGCGCCACCACCGAGAAGGCCCTTTGCCTGGTTCCCTGTAACTTGGCTTCTCACACTGAGGGAACCGCCAGAAGGCCCTCGGAGTTGGACCTCAGTGTCTGGGCTGGATGATGGGGATGGAGACGCTCCTTCAGGTATACTGGACTGAGGCCATTTAGGGCTTTCAAGGTCAGCACCAACACTTTGAATTGTGCTCGGAAACGTACTGGGAGCCAGTATAGGTCTTTCAAGACCGGTGTTATATTCCCGGACAGTCCATGGGCTGGATTTAGAAGGCAATTGGGCCGGATCCAGCCCCCGGGCCTTAGCTTGCCTACCCATGGTTTAGCTTATACGTAAATCCGTCACTGGCCGTGTTTCCCGCGTACATCGCTTACTGCATCTGTTCCTTTTCCTCTCTCCGCAGCACCCGGAACGACCCACGTCATTTTCCGCGAGGATCCGTACCGCGTCTCCGGAGACCAGATGGCCTTGGGCCTGCTGGCGGGGGCCGCCTCGGGGGCCGCACTGGGCTCGTTCATGTGGATGCCCTGTTGGTTCTGAGCCCACCCTTTCGCAGCCCCAGCCCAGACGCTCAGCTAAGACGCCGCTGCGATTCCCCACTGGAGAGGGAGGGCCAAAGGGGGAGCTGCTTTGTAGGGGGGAGTCAGGGGTGGGCAGAAGCAAAATCGGGATCCCCCCGAAAATCTCTGGGCCGTTTGCGGGAGGCCGGCGGCCGTCCCTTATCACTGAATCGTCTTAACAAAAGAGTTAGCACCAGAAAGGCTTCTTTCATCACAAGGAGGCCATTAGCATCCCTGATCTACAGGTAAGCCCAGCGGGGTATGGTAGGCAGTAGGCCCCGCCCAGTCCCAGCCGCCATTCTTCACCTAGCTCCGCCCCTGAGCCGCCATTTTGCACTTGGCCCCGCCCACCCGAGCCCCCAGTTTGTCTCTGCTCTAACAAACCATAGCTAGCAAATAGAATCAGAAATGGATTCCACCAGCCTGGTTATCTGCCCACACTTGATGTCGACTCCGGGTGATATTTGCTTCTGCCGTCAATCACAAGAGCTGCTTTCTGCGCCGCTGCACCTTCCCTCCGCATTTCTCTTTGCTAGGCATCCTCCAACTCGGCTTACTCAAATCGGTCTTCGTGTATTTTGCGGGCGTAGCTGCCTGCTACGTTTTCCTGCCTCCCCAAACAACACCTCGGTTTTGTGTTGTTTTTGCTGGCACCCTGGAAATTGCAGGTGATTTCCCAGCTGCACTAGGGCGCTTGTGGAAAAGGGCAGATTACACACACACCACTCCAGTACCCAGCAGCTACAAACTTTTCCCACTGTTCTTTCTGGCAAGGGCCCCCTCTGCATTTTGACGCTTCCACAGCAGGCCGAAATTCAACAGGTGAAGCCTTTCCGCAAGCAACAATGGGGAGCGGCTGCACCTGTTGATTTACTGCTCCTCCGAGGCACAGAGCCCTGCGGGGAAGGAAGCCACAAACCTCCAGGTTACAGGTGTCAGCTTGACCTTATTTATTCCGGTGAAACGAGCTCCTGGGGGGCTTGTTTCAGATTGCTGGTTGTTGTAAAGGTGGGTTGCCATCTCTCCCAGACACTTGGAGGTTTTGTGGCTGATCTTACCGGGATCACGGCCTTGGGACTCTGGCTGATTTCTGGGATGGCAGCCGTTTTTTAAGACGCCTGGCAACAGAGCAGCTGTAGCACAGTGTACGCAGAAGGTCCCTGGTTCAGTTCCGGTTTCTGCCATAAATCCAGCAGGGCTGCTGCCTGCCCGTGTAGGCAGCACTGAGCTCAATGAACCAAAGGTCTGGCTCCGTTGGAGGCGGACTTCCTAGCTTCCTCATAAACAGTCATAGGACGCTTTTGAAAACTGCCCAATTTATTATGGCATAAGCTTTTCATGCAAAGAAGTCTAGTCCGTGGAAGTGTCCCACTGAGTTCAAAGGGGGCTGGTGTCCCCGATATGTCTGTTGTTTTTGCAGGTTACAGTGGTGGGTTTGTGCTTTTTGGTTTATAGACGTGTAAACCACTATGCACGCAGTTAAGACTGTGGAACTCCTTGCCACAGGAGCCAGCGATGGCTGGCCACCAGCTTGGCTTTGAAAGGGGACCAGGCAAACGCATGGAGGATAAGGCTGTGCTTAAGCTCTGCTCCGAACGCCAGTTGCTTGTGGGCTGCTTTCCCATCGGGCCATCTTCTTGGCCGCTGTGAGACCGAGGTGCCGGCTAGACAAGCCTTTGGCCTGATCCCTAGAATCATAAGAGAGTTGGAAGGGTCATCTGGTCCCTGCTGGAATCGCAGCAGGACTCTCCTCACGCCCTTTGCCTATTTGGCGTGATTTTTTTCCAGGTCACACCGCCAGATGGTTGCCCAGCCTGAGCATGGAAAACTCGGAAGCAATAGTTTAAAAGCTGCAATCTGCGTGTGCAGAGGTGCTATAGAGGAGTGCTGAGAAGGAACAGCGTCAGAGACCCCCCCAGGTTGCCCCTAATAACACCCTGCCCTAGAGCAATAGCCTGGCAAGGCTGATTGGCAGAAATGCATTGCTTGTGTTTTAGCAAGTGAAAGATAGATTTTGTGAGGTTGCTAGCCACAAGGCCCAGCCCTTGAGCAAATGCTTAAAATAAAAACAGGTGAGAAGCAGTAGATGCAAGCTCTCCCAAGTGCCACAATACTAAAATCGCAGCAATCTTTTTTTCTTGGCCATTTCAGAACTTTCCCTCTCTGCAACTTGAAAGCACAATTATGTGACCAAACCACAACCGATTGCACTTCACAGCTAACAACGCAAATATACAGCCTCTCTGCTTTTTATTTTTGACTGTTTATTTCCTTTCCAAAGTTATTTATTGACCATTCCACCACCCCCGACCCAGAAATTCCCCAAGCAGCACACAAAATTAAAGAAAAATAAATCTCCCCTCCCTATGGATCGATAACATTACTGTCATTAAAACAGTCCAAACGGGCGAGGGACTCTGCACACTCAGACGCAGCAACATTATGGAGACCACAGCGGCAGCTGGTTCCTTTGGGCACAGGGAACGTTGCCCACCAACCTCAGACTACACTCTGCTGGCTCCCGCTGCTTGCTTTCTTTATTACAACTATTCCAGGGGGTTGCACTGCCAGCCAACTTCCTTCCCCCTCCATAGTCTCAGCTTTGAACTCAGCAAGGAAGATGGGGAAGATGTGATGTCTGCTCTGGCGCCACCTACTGTTCAGCTCCCTGCCTTGTGCCCTACCGGTTGACACTACTCCTAGAATCCCAGAATTGTAGAGTTGGAAGGGAGTCATCTAGTGCAATGCAGGGATCCTAAGTGGGAGGCTTCTTATCAAAGATGGAAGTGGGGTCTGGGAGCATCGCTTGTGGTCCTGCTGTGTATCCCTAGGAGGTGAGCATTCACCAGGGCGCACACTCCCGTTCTGCTTCTGCTCCCGTTCATTGTAGTAGCTCAAAAGTTCTCTTGGGGCTGTTCTCACATT